ACTTTGTTTCCTATAATCCTTAGGCTTGATAAGTATGTTTAATATTCACCCAAAGACTCCAAGGATTAAGAAACTATGAAACAGAACTATCAAATTTTGATAAATGCAACGTGAAGTGACAGACTATAGGTGAAGCTGTTCAGATGCTTTCAGTGGAGCATTTTATGACTCATGTTTGATGAGGCTTAGTTTAATCAGGCAACTATTATCATTATACACTTTTGACAATTATTTTTTCACCTTGCACAGAATTTCTATAGAATTCTGTTGAATTAATTCCTTAGAAATGGCAATAAATGAAAAAGCACAATTTATATACTATATCGTGCAGCGTTGTTTGCATGTGCTTTATTTGAACTGTAATTCTTATGCAGTATTTATACCAATTTCATTTGAAATTCTAAACTGAAAAAAGAAATTAAGCTAGAATTCGTCTCTGATGCATAAAATAAGGAGATTTCACCTCTTTATTGGTAACACTTTAATCTGTTGGTCTTGGATCCTTTGTCTTTGACCATTGTTAAAGTGAGCTTTTTTTCATACCACAAGCCAGGTTAATGGCAGTAAACCAGGAAGAGTGAAACATTATTTTGATTTTAAATTTTAAGAAGTTAAATATTTCACTAAAAAATATGTATTTCATTTAATCAGTTGTATATATAGTTATCTGGTTAAACCTTTTTCTTTAACATGAGTACATGAAGCATGATCCTATTTGTCATGATAGAGTCCTTTTTGTTCCTTAGGTATTTCGATATTGTTTTAGAGGAATGAGATGATACTAATAAATGAAAAATGCAGTAACTTGAAATGTCTCTGATTTAGTCCAAAAATGGATCATACATTTAAAATACCAACTGTATTTGTTTTGTTTCTTAAGAGTATTAATCAAGTGTGAATATGTAAGTATTTCAGGTGGGTGTAAGTATGTTAAATACTTGTGGGAAAGGATGTTTAGCAGCAGAAGTCTCATGTTGATGCTTTGTATGACTTAAGTGAGCCAAGCTGGCAAAATAAAAAGTTACTGAAGAGCACAGAAAAATCAAGAATTATCATAAATAATTTGGGATATAAGAATTTACAGTGCTAAGTCTTTTCCACTTCTGAAATAGCTAAGGGTGCTGTAGAGAAATATGAATTATTCTTGCAAAACCCATATAATTAACAAATTAATAGTTGAGGTGATGACAGAAATTTTCATTCTGCTCTGTTTATATTACCCATTATTCTTTCCTTGAAGAGATGCTTACACTTAAAAAATCTCACTTAACAGAAGTTATCTGGAGAAAAATGAAATAAAAGATACAAATTTAATTTATGTTTTCAAAATGTGGCTCTCAGAGTTAGTATTTTATATCTGTACTTAAACAGATAAATATGTTTGCCTGATGACAGCAAAGAAGTGTCTTATGGTTCAAATATCAGGTCATTTCTTTAGGTGTGAAAAACAAAGAGAGGATCTAAATTGTGACACCCATATTATACAATGTTCTTCTAAAATTAGATTCCAGTTGGATTACTGAATATAATCCATGAGATTTGAAGAGTAAAAAGCAAGAATTTTAAATTTTACTTGACACGAAAAAGAAGAAAAGCATAATATACACGTGCACAAACACACATGCACATAGACATGCACACATTATAACAATATGCATATATATACAGACATATGTCTATATATGTGTGTATATATATACATTTACACACCTACACACACCCTTTATGCAACTAGAATAAGATTTCCTAATGTAAGCATCAGGGAGGTCCTCATTTTGATTTCTACTAGAATGGTATCTCTATACTCTACTACATGTAATCAAGCTTCAGACATTCCCATAACACCCTTCATGTAAAAAATCAAAAGTTTATATATGTCAGATACTGTGTGTTTGGACATTTATAGTCCAGCTACAATATTCCAATGCTGTGAGAAGCAAAATGTGTAGTGCAGGATTAGAATGGGTAAAAACTTTGTGTTAATTTTTTTTTTCCTTCTTTCAAGATAACTTTAGTCTAGTTGCTTTACTTAAGGCTACTTCCACACACGAATTAGATAATTAGTAATCTCATTAAGAAAAATTCTTTATTTTACGTGGATTGTGCCCGAGAGGAAAAAAATCTCAATCACTTGAAAACTTTATCTCCTCCTCCTTACCCCTCCCCCCTGGAATCAAAACAAAGTGAATCAACACAAAACATCCCCCCCCAAACAAATAGACAAACAATAAAATTATGTTGCAATAGTTTTAACTCAGTTTGCGTGGGGGAGGGAGGAATAAATATTGGGTTTGAATAGAAGTTGGGTGTTTGGAAGACTTATTTGCACTGAACAGTATCCTTAAAAGAGGGACCAGTATAGGTAGAGTCCCCCAATAAATTATTACTATTCCTTTTCAGACTAAAAATAAAACATTTTAAATATATTGATTATACCTTCATCAAAACGTAAGTATTCTATCTGGCCTATAGGTTCCAAGAATCTCTATTTGGGCTTAACTTACCATAATTTCAAAACAAAACAATGAAATGTGAAATTTTGCACATTAGGATGTTCATAGTGACCACATAAAGTAATAAAAAAAAAATAATTCACAGACTCTTAGCCATATATTTCAACTTTTTCTCACAGTTTGAAACTGATGAAAATAATTAAAAAAATCAATTTCCTGTTAGGAATATTTTTTTTTAATTATTATTATTCCCTGTTAAAATCAGATGTGTTTATGTCCTTTGGGGCTTTTTGAAGAATATTAACTTTTAGGGAGCATGTCATGAGTGAGAAAGTAATCAGGTAAAAATTAAAATGTATTCTCAATGAAAATCTCAGTCATATCATACCACTGACTAAGCCACACTCTCCACTGATTTCAGGCTAGAGTGTGGCTTGAAAATCTCTGGTATGACATAGGACTCTCATTGATCTGAACAGGCTTTCAGTCATATCCATTGTTCCCTGACTTCTGATGCTTTTCTTCATCTGTATTTCTTACTTGTAATAAAGATTCAGAATCGCATTTAAAGTCTATGAATTTTCGGGTCATTTTGACTCTTATTCCAGCCCCACCTCCATTGATACAAGATTTTTTTTGCTGTTTTCCGAGTGACAAAAAGTTGAAAAGTTATGGCTAGTTTTATTTCTATTTTAATAACCATACCTATATAATTGTCATTTTCATACATTAAAAAAATATTTATGCTTTCTTTTATATTTTAGTCAAGTACTTTCTTAAACAAAACAATAGCACCACTTTGGCATTGTTGGCCAAATCAGTAACAGGTAAAGCAAATATGCATACACTTTTCTGCTCTTGTCGTTTCCTGAACTTGATAATTAAAGGGAGAGCCAAGAAGACACAGTGCTTGGCCTGAAGTCCCCATTAATCAATTTTAAATATTGATACTGAGAGAACAACAAGCTCATGGGGCAACTGAACATAACCACTAGTTGTGTGTGAAATTCACTTCTGGAAAGTCCACCACTAATTTATTTACTCTTTAATCTTACAGAAGGAATTGACACTGTAAACTGCCTTGGAAAAAAGGAGCCTATTTTGATGTGTCTACAAGGACTGGATGCAACAACCCATAGTTTGATTTTCTTCTCTCTCTTGTCTGAATGGCACAATTGAGCCTCATACAATTCTTTCACAGAAATGTAAGTGTAGGTTTGTAAGTACATTTTGAGCAAAATAAAGAATTTATTCATTTTCTATTTAAACTCTTAATGATTAATTATGTTTACTGTGGAGATAAGGCTCAACTTTTGCCACCTTGATGAAAGAGATATATTGACTTCAGTGGGTTTAAATCTGCAGTGCTTTTTGAACTGACTGAAAATAATGAGGCTTAATTAACTTTTTCTTATGCATTTCAGTGACATTCCATGTAATAATTGGAGTTTTAAGTCTACTCTAGAATGCAAAAATCTGTTACCTCTCTCATGTGACTTAGACGATAGGGAAGGATGGGGAGTGGGCTTTTCTGTACCACTTAAGTGATTTATGAGAATCAATGGCATCCAGTGGGAGCCTTGTTCCTAAATATCTGGAGTGCTTTTGAAAATCCAACTGAACCTTTCAATTTCTCTAATTAGTTTTTCGAGTCAGACTGCTTTGTACTTTTGGGAGGGAGATGTTTTGGCTCATGCTTCAACTTCTTTAAGTAGAGGATTTATTAAGATTATTAAGCTAATACAGCCCTTTATCTTTCACACTAACTGGTATATCATGTGCTCCTGGCCATATGACTGGATATTTCTTATACAAAATGCATTTCCCATCCATGTATTTCTCACCTCTGTGGGGCTGGAGCTACTTTCCGTTTTGTGATACCATTTGTTTGCTAGTAAAGCAAAATGTTGCCTTTGAAGTTTGTAGCTAGTCATTATTTATTTTAGTTTCTTCCAAGAATTGTTTTAATTTGTTTAGACAGTTGTCGGGTTGTGATGTTAGATACTGCTGTGTCTGAGTGACATTTTCTAATTATGATTCCTCAAAAGGAGAAATATGGTGGCATGAATGTGTGTGAATCTCAAGATAAGACAAAAAATTTGAATTAATTCACAGGAATTAATGCAAAGTGATGTATAATTATTCAGTTATGTTAACAGTGCATCAGTAAAAAAGTTATCTGCAAAGAAACTTGCCACTACAGCTATCTGCAAATTGTTTTCTACATTCACATCTTTCTTCCTTCCTCCTCTTAGAACTTCAGAGGATATAGGGGACAGAAAGGGTCATGGGACATGAAATGGAAATATGTATTATGCCTGTGACATAATAATGGCTTATTCTTTGATTGTATTTCAGAATTCTTACAGCCATTAAAGTAAAAGTACTTCCCTCTCCATCCCCCCGCCAAAAAAAAATGCCTGTAGGAGCTGTGGCAGGTATCAGAATTGCTAACTCTGTCTATTGAATTGGTGGTAAATAATTCAGGCTAGTTTTCACACCTGTTTCTCTTTACTCCCTTTTTCAACATAACTATCTCAGTCAGTGTCAGCTGTGACATATTCTTTTTATTCATTTACTGTTCTACTTTTACATTGCTATGGCAGCTTATTGTGCATATAGATATCCATCTCACAGAAAGCCGAGGGTTTAAGGAATTGCATAGGAATACATTGCACTTGTTAAAAATACAAACCACAAATTTTCTATGGGAATAAAAAAGGAACTATAATAATTTGTTAGACTTTAAAGACCTACCTTGTTTCACAAGGAACTATTGAGGAGCTGTATGTATGCAGTCTGCAGAGAACCTTTTCTTGTGTTTTAGTCAACACTTCAGTTATCTACTCCCCTGGATGTGGTAGAAAGGAAGGCAGATTTGAGCCCTGTAAAAAGGGATGCTTCCTTTACATGTCTAATCTAACATCTCCCTAACTGCTCACTTCAAACAGTATTGTCCAGGTTCTGAGTTCACCACATGCAGGAAGGTGAGGAGAAGTCAAGTGGAACCACATTAGAGTTCTTGGACAGAGTGGGACAGTGCATTCCCCCCCCAAGGCCCCTTTCACTCCACCCATCTAGTCTTCCATTCTCTCACAGAGAAGTTTATTGCTCACCTTGGTCACTGTTGGCTACCCATCCCCCTTCACTGCATGGCCAATCTGGCATTCAGTTGATGAACAAAAATGGAGCATAGGACACAGTGTTATTCAAGGTAGAACCAGTGCAGTGCCTAACAAAGTTATGTAACAGGGGATTATAAGTAAGGAAGTAAGGATTTTATGGTTAATCTCTTCTTGGGGACTCTTTCTACACTGTAATTTGGTGATTAGATCAGCTTTTCTGATTTGCAGAGAGATGCAGAAGCCCAGTGAACAGTCATTTAAGTCACATCTGATTGTGAGAAGAATTAGAATAGAGGGGAACTTGAGTACCTCTCTATTATGTTTGAATAGAATGATGACATTTCAGGAAGTTTCAGGCACTGATGGACTAACCCTTGAAATCATTTGAGGGCTGGTTTTCAAATTGTTTTCTTTGGGCCTAGACATCTATGAATTTGTGTTCCACATAACCATAAGTGAAAAAACGTTTTCTTTTGGAGATGAGAAAGTTATTACCATATTGAAATCTGAAGCCATTTCAGTTGATTTAAGCTGAATAGTTTTGAAACTATTTTGTTATTTAATCTTTGGCTTGGTCCTTCCACATTTGCTTTTACCTATTACCGTTTTGGCCAGACCCTTTCATGTAACAAACTATAAAATAGCACCGTTGTACTATAAAACAGAGATTTTTACATACTGTTTGATATATGTGTATTATTGATATGCTAAATTTTACATACTGCATTATATGGAGGAAGAAAGAAGTTACCTATACTGTTGCAAAATAATTACCTGGAAGAATCATTACTGGTTTGAGAGCCTATGTATGCTTTAACTGCTTTAAAAAATCTTTTGTCTCACAAATTGCAATAAATTGCATGTTTGTAAGAGAAGGAAGAATAAAACTGTTTTAAAACAAATGCATCTATAACCCATATTCTGTTGAAATGCCACAGATGGAATTAATGGATGTTTAAAACTGTGTATGTTACCTTACTGCTGCTGTTACTGGGAATGCCAAACTGTGCAAATATGAAGGGGTAGACAAACAATGTTATCAGACACTGTAAAACAAACAGCTTGTTGCTTGTATAGAAGTGCAAATAAAAAAAACCACCACTTAGACAAGGCTGATGAATGACTCCAGCAGCCAGTGTTCATAGGTTAATTTAGTGCAATTGGATCCATCAAGGGCCCATAAATTTGTAAGCATTTGAGGGGCACAAGACTTTAAGAGTTTTTGTGCAGGACATTTAAAACAGGTTAACAACAGTAATATATCAACCACAGAAATTTTAGCTCTGGGCTGGTTAAAATGTTCTGTTCTCTAAAGACTTAATATTGGAATGTTTAGTTGCATTGTTCACTGGGAGAATGCCCATTGGTTGAGATTGCATCAAGCTTTTTAAAACAAAGGTTTTTTTAAGTCTTCCAATGTTTAACAAATAATTTATTTACAGCAAAGTATCCTGCAGATGGCACATTCATTCTTCATTCTTGTGGATGGCATGTTCTTACATTCTGTAGTTTCTGTTTCCTGTGTTCCCTCTACTTGTATTCTTCAAATGCACTTCCTGAGGGTTTAGAAAGAAAAATTTATTACAGATAGGTTTCAATACTTTGTATGATCACAAAACTTATAATAGTGGGAAAACAGTTACCCAGAATGCTGGAATTGTTAGACCCCCTTCTACCAGTTCACAAGGAATAGTCTGCAGAGAATCTTCTCCTGTGCTTTCTTTAATCAATAGTTCAGTTATCTACAGGGAACTTAGCAAGGTAGAACTTCTGTACCCTACATTTCCAGTTCTCTTAGACATAAATGATTGCTGTCATTTTTGATTCTGGCAGAGGAAACATCTGCATACTGGAATCTGGATGGGCTTAGGCATACAGTAGGTACCAAAGATTTTCTTTCACAAGTACATTTGCAAAAGCAGGATGTGTAGGGGCCGAGGAACTACGGAGTTGTAACTGCAGGATTTATAGAGTCTCTTGGGCTTTGGTATCCAGTGTTTTCAAAACTGCACTGCTAACTACATATTGCATAAATGGCTTATTAGATATGTTGGATTTTGTTGGATAAGACCTTGAGGAGGATAAAAAGTGTTTGTTCAGTGTAGGAGCTACAGTCAAATAATTTGTATTTTAAAAACAAGACAGGGTGATGTGCCAGGCAAATCAAGAGAGCACTGGAATGAATAATGCCCTGAGTTCACTGTCAGTCCAAGCACAGGCCAGTTTCCAGCAGCAGTGATGGGTGTGGCAATACACTTCAGTTTATTTCCTTATTTGCCATGCTGGTAAGTGTTTTCTGGGCCCAAAGCTTTGTCCATTCTGTATCAGAGTAAAGGCAGAATTTTTAAGTGACTCTCCATATTCATAATCCTCATCAGAAGTCAGATTCTTAGTTAACTGAAATCCATCTGTTCTAAGAAAAGCCAAAAAGAAAAAACTATCTGTGAAATGTGTAGCATGTGTATGCAGCTCTACCACTGCATCAGTTGCTATTAAAGCCCTAAAAATAAGGAAACATAACCTCTAAAATTTAAAAAGTAATAAGATATGTCTGCTTTTCTGATGGACAGAAAAAAAAAAAGGAAACTAATTTGGAGCGTTACAGTTGTGTGGGGTTTTTTAGTGATTTCCCAGATAACAGCCTATTCTAAATTCTTTTCCATTTCCTTTCAGTATCTATTAAACATAAAAGAAATCAGAAACTGGCAAAGGATCACAAAACTTGAGCTCACTTGAGCTTATTAATTTTCTCTGGATTTGGATTGGATTCTCATGGGTATGAGTTTAATTATTATTTTAAGTATATAAAATAAAAATGAAGCAGTACTAGTAATTGTTAAATTAGTTATACCAATAGCAAGTAAAAAGACCAAAACATTAAGCCAAACTAGAACTTATCATCACTGACAAACCAAACTTGTTGATAGCAAAGGATTCATAGTGAAGAAATGTCTCTTTTAGGAATGTGCCATTCTAGACTAGATTAATCATCTAGTCACTTTTCCTGTGAAAAGTTCAGAAGGATACTGGTTTGTCTTCATCCAGTTTTGCCAATACTGCTGTAGAATGGCTTCCTTAGCATCAATCAAATACGGAAACAGAAATGTCAACAGAATTCTGCTTATCCATACACTAACATATTTTTTGCTTTTCATTGCCTATTTCTGCTCCAGCTTTTCCCAAACTACCTTTGCTGTCTTTGGTTTTCCCTAAGTTGTATGTTAGTTTTCACCCTGAAGTACTCATTCTAGGTCAGCCCTTCAATTTTCATTGATTTCCACAAAGATCATCATTGCAGCGTTTCACAGGAATCTGCCAGTATTAAGGATCCTGCCTTATTCTACAAAGGCTTGTTACAATGAACTAGCACAGCAACAAAACAAAATATTCTCCTCAGTGCTGACCCTAGGTGCTCCTCTTTGAAGATAGTTTATCAGCACATAGGAAAAGTTATATGTTACATTATATTTCCAAAAAGTCATACGTTCTTAAGGACTGAAAACTTGTGATCTATAAAATGGACAGTGAGAGTCATAATGAAAGAACAGCCACTTTTGCATTGCAGTGACTTTCAAAGTGTATTTAGATAGAAAATTACCTATATTTTTCTGAAATGAAAATACAAATTATCTCCACTACTCTTGTTGTCTGACTTTAAAATGGCTTTGTCAACCAAAGAAAGCAGATACTAAGATGCAGCAGGGTTTCAGTTATAGCTTTTAATGCTGACATGTAGGTAAAAAAAAAAAAAAGCTGTCATGATGCACAAACTAGCTTTGAAATTGAAGGAAGATGGCAGGTTACTTTTAGAACATTTTCTTTTTCAGATTCAGCATTTTGATGAATAAGTACAAATAAATGCCACTGGTGGTAGTAGCAGTAACATGCATGCCAGAAAATGCTTTGACTCACATAACACACTTTTTCATGTATGCAATGCTGAGACTGTTGGGAAAAACAAAACAACACAACAAAGTTGTGAATGTTTGAATCAGGTTCTCAGGCCTGCATTTGTACTGGTATATCAAAGTTTGCCTCATTTCTCAAGTCCTGGAGGACAAGGTACTTAGAGATAAAACTCCACCTGTGATGCTTGTTTTATTGTCAGATCCTCTGAACTGATATTCAGACCCAGATGAATAAAATCATCATTTTAAAATGAGAGGTGCAAAATGTGAACGTTTTGTTCATGTCAGCTCATGAAAAGAGAAGCACAGACTTCTAACCCTTCACCTACAGCATGGATCTTTGGAGAAAAGACAAAAGGTTAACAACTACCTCAGTCATGGTAATAGTCATTTAACTGAGGTGGAAGGATATTGGGAAGCATACAGCAGCATTCTTATCCTATTAGGACAGACATTTAAACCTCATATTGGCATTGAAAGTTCTCTTGCTCTACTGGTAATAAATGGAAAGTCTAGTGTTTGTAGTAACAGGCATGATACCTTAGCTATGAACTCTCTGGAGGCTCTTTGAAATCTTTTCAGTTCTGTGGGCAGTGTGATCAGTAATATAAAAACAAGGCTGGAAGGTAAACAATGGGAGAAAATAACTATCTGAAGAGGCCAAGTCTTTCTATCTGTTACACCTAAAAGTTCCCTCATTGGCTTAGTAATGTGGCATGGCTGCAACAGAAATTAGGATTGGTGCCATTGTGCATACTTTGGCCTGTAAATGTATCTGTGAGTTGATACTGAGCCAGTTACAGAAGAATCTACCAGTCTTAGAAAAACTAACTAGAAATAATGCAATACTTTCTCTGTTTTCTTAAAAGCATTTTCTTAAACTAAAAATTTTAATATCTTTTCCCTTTCTCTCTTGGTCTCACTCAGTATTTATTTAAATTTTGAAGAGTAGATAAAATCAGAAAAGTATTTTTGTGAGAATCTGCTTCCTATTCATACTTTGTTGGTAAATATATTCATATGTATTTTTCACATGTAGGCCTAAATAAGAATAAGGACTGAAAATCTGAGGAAGAGCAAAATTATATCCAGATGTGCACCTCTTTTCCCCTTTTCCTTAGGATGCAAGGGAATGGCATGGCATTGTGTTCATGAACAAGTTCAAGTTATGCCAGGAATGGTTTAGATTGGATGAAAGGAAAAATTTCTTCACTGAAAAGGTTGTCAAACGCTGAAACAGGCTGCCTAAGGAAGTCCTGGAGGTATTTAAAAGATGTGTAGATGTGGCACTTAGAGACATGGTTTAGTGGTGGAGTTGGCAGTGCTATGTTAATGGTTGAACTCAATGATCCTAGAGGTCTTTTCCAACCTAAATCATTGTATGATTCTCTTTTACTAAATTTTAAAATCAGCCTTACCAGTGTTTACATTCATGTAGTAGTTTTCAAGGTAAATTAATAAGAACTTTGTAACATTGATTCTGTGACACTGCTTCATTTAGAAAGGTCGCAGTCTTTCCTCTCATATATAGTTGTGGAAATTGCTCAGTTAGTTCTTTTCTGGAAGAGTTGTTTTTCAAAAAGTTCTACTCACTAATTTTCCAAATTACTGTTAATACTTAGATCACTTTTTGACTAAATTTTTATTATCATTTTTCAGAAGAGAAAGATGAATGGAAGAAAAGCTAGATGGGGCCATGACATGAAACTCAGGATAACTTCCCTTCTTGCTCTTGTTTTGCACTTTAAAACTCTAAATATAAACTTAGTGTAAAAATAGGTGAAACCATTACTTTGCTTAAACCAAAACACAAATGCTGGATTTGTCATTTAAAAAGTTCTGAGGAGATTCTAAATAAAGACTATATCCGATACATGAAAGGCATAAGAAACTGATTGTCTATGAAGTCTGAGAGTAACTGCACAATACTTTATATATTCCATTTAATCCTACCTTAAAGCTTGCATTTACTAAGAAAATTTTAAAGAGGTCATATGCAGTATCTCACATACATATATTCACTTTCTATGTATAAGATATATATCTCATAGATAACATATAGTATGAAGAGAGAAAAATATCCTAAAGCAGAAAAAAATTGCTTAACTTAAAAATAATTTTACTGTATCATAACTATTTTTTAATTACGATCAGTGACACTATGAACTACCTAAATACATTCATATTGGGAGACCCTATTTAAAGAAAGTATGAACATAATTGCCTTTCCTAATGGAGGCATGTACAATTGAATGCAAAAAGAAAAGAGAAAGAAAAAAAATCACAGGAGAATATGTACCTGACTTTTTCCTAATGAAGTCTGCTTCTTTTCCTTTCCCTGTATTTTCCTTTTATCTATCAAAAATATGAATAATAGTTTCTCCTACTCTTTCTGTATTTTTGTTTCCTCAATCTAATTTTCTCCATCCACAAATAATAATGAAAATTTCAGTTTGTTTTCCCCATCAGATTTCTGTTATTTTATTGCCAAGTTCCTATCAAGAAGCATTTATGGTTTTTTTTCTTCTGTTCAACTTTCTCCTCATTTTCACATACAGTTTCTCTAAAGGTGTTATTTTCTGTAATATTAATTTTCCCCTAATTTTATTTTTTCTCCCTTTTTCTCAAAGTCTCATGCTTTCTGTGTGATGATGTTGGTTCATTCAGTTTTTCAATATTTTACATCTTCTCAGACTCTTTGATCTAATTCCCTCCCCTTTCTGTTCTTATGCTCCTTATTGTCCCTTTATTGCTCTTCTCGCCTCTTGATTCTTTCACTTTTTAATTTCCTGGATGGTTTCTTCTGCAGCTAGGCTCTCTCAATTACTCAGTTACATGCTCTATTTTTTTTCTACTTCCAGTACCCCTCTGGAGCACCACCTCCCCTGACGCTGGAGGAAGATGCAAGGCCTTTCTTCTGGTCCTTCCTGTTTGTAAGAAAAGTGTTCTCCTGCCTGAGTTTTGAACTGGGAAGAGGATGGCTGCCTAAAGTATGACATCATCGTTCCTTAGTCCTCCAAGGAAAGTGGTGTGGAGATCCATCAGAGAGCTGGCAGGTATCTTGTCTCCTTTACTTGAATGTTTTACCAATCACCTTAGCAACAAGTATGGGAAGGAGAACACAGATTACTGGCCAAGACTGTTTTCTTCTTTTCCAGCAAGCCTTAAGTTTATGTGTGCCCAGATAGGAATAAACTCACAGCATCTTCTTCTCTATAGCTCTAGAGCTCTGAGCTCTACCTGAAGAGGTCTTCACTCATCACCCTGTGTGCCCTTTGAGATATTAAGGGCTAAGGTGATACTTCCCAGGAAATATCACTCAGACACTGCTTTAAAAGCTTGAAAACTCTTGAGGAAGAGGTGGAAGGATTCCATTCTGTGGATTGACTTATGGAAAAGAATGGATGCTGGAGTGATTGCAATTGTTCTTTTCATAAACATGATATTAAGGAAATTATTATACAGTACTGGTTCCCTTAATTCCTATGAAACATTAGGTTTTCATACAGTTCCATTTCTTATAAGCAAAAATTTTCAGATAACTGCAGGAGTGGGGCCAACATATGTATAGGACAGAGGGGGTCAACAGCAATAAAATAAATCAATAGAGACTTAGAGCAGAAGACAAATAACATGTAAAACAGATGTTCAGAACTCAAACAGGAGAGAGGGTTGTACATGAAATCAATTGCAGCCTAGTTTAAGATGGGTTTTCTGAACTATAGGCTCTGTTGATACATATATATATACAGTATATCTAGTATCACTGGAACAAAAATCTGGATACTCTGAACTCCACAACTATATAAACAAATCAATTAATATTTGAAGTGCTTGGAGAATATATGTATTAAACTTTAAATACTTAAAATGAAGCATGTATTGAATTGCAGTGAATATCCATTTGATTCAGCTCTGATAAATAAAAAAAAAAATCCAAAATAATGAAGAAAGAAAAAAATTTGTTCATTACATGCAAAATAAATAGCAGAATAGCTGTATTTTCTTTCTTGAGCACTCACTCTACCTCTGCCTGAAAGGGAAGGATGAGTGAAGAGATTCTGGATAGATGAGTTGTTAAACATTCAGTGTTTGGTTTCTCTTTTGAAAGTCTTAGGTGCTATTTGTGACTGGATGACGTGAGTACTTATCACTTACTACTCTATAGCAGGATAAAGCCTCACAACTACTAGCTTAGCAGTTCTATGTTTTATTCAGTGTTTTAAGAGATAAGATGAAATTCACCATTTCCTACTCATTTTCTACCATGGAAACTATTTTCCAAAACTCCACTAAATCTAGTGGGCAGAACACATCAGTTGTCTTCTACGTTACCAGCCTTGATAGAATTTTCCTTCCCTAAAACACATTGGGTTTTCTTCGTTGATATTTTTTTTGGTTTGGTCGGGGTTTTTTGTTAGTTGTTGTGAATGTTTCCCAGCCTGGCCTACCTTTTGTGCTTTTGGCATATCAGTGTGGCGCTGAGCACGTACAGACCGTGCAGACTTGGGTGGCTTTATTGGAGCACAATACATCTCCAGCCTCCTCAGGTCACAACTCTGGAAGCAGCATTCATCCACTATTCCCTTGTGGTGTAAGCGTCTACTGCTGGATCCATACCCTGTAGGCTTATCTATTCAAAACACAAATGGAAAGTTTTTTGTTAGAAAGAAAGCGCAAATGTCTCAGAAGCAGTCATATCATCAAGTTGCATTGTTTTAACTGAATCACCAATGACCATTGTAGAGCCTGTCTGTATGCATCTCTTCTAAGACCCTCTTCTCAGACACACTTTTAGAAGAAATTCTAGCTTTTGTCTCTGTCTATGGGTGTTCACTATTTAAGCATTTGAGCAAATATATGCATTCTTAGAAAAATATTATTAAAATATTTTCCTGAGCTGTCTTAGCATTGAAAATGGAGAGGGAGGAATCTGAAATCTGGCATTCAGAAGCCTCACAAAGGAAATTTGCCCTTTAGCTTTAGGATGAAAACTGATTGTTGAGCCAACTGAGGCAGCTGGTGTGTAAAGATCATAGATCATGACTGTGTTGTAGACAAATATTTCCTAGTAAAAAAGGCTGCACCGAGGTACTATGTGAAGTCAGAATGTGTTCCAAAGGGGAAATAAATACTGCATACAACTGCACAGGCTGTAAGATCTGCAAGCTCAAAAGCTAGTGGGAAGCAGGAAATAAGGTAACAAAGCAACAGATGAAATACAGCAAAAATAGGAAGGTGGGTGATGGAACAGATAAAAGTAGAAGATTTTATATTCCATAGATTTGCACAAGATAGGAAATGGGGCTGACATAACATGGTTTTCCTCTGTTTTGCACCAGGCATCTGTAGAAACTACTTAATTGGCAAATATTTTCCATTTTTCACTCAACTCCAATAAAGGGCAACATTTTCATTCATACAACTCTTACACACATATTTTTGTCTTTTTTTCCCCAGTGGTTTTTGATTTCCTTAGTAGCTGCTAATTTCTCTGCTATACTACACAGAGATTAAAGACCCATTATTTCCTGGGCTTGTTTGTGTGCAACCCAGTTGGATATGTAGTTGCCCTGTCATGACTAACTAGAAATGAAAGAATAGTCAATTCACAAAAAGGAAGTACCTGCTTACTTTCTATACCTATTTTAAATTCTGATAGAATTTGATTTCACACACTAAAATTCTGAAAAGATTAAGTGTTTTGTTTTGACATTTTTCAGCATTAAATGTTTCCATTTACAGGATGATCCACACTAGTTAAGAACTAAAAATATGGGGGAAAAAAAAAAAAAAAGGAAAGAAAATTGCACCAAGAGCCAAAAAATGAAGTAACTCAGTCAGCTCTACCAATTTCTTTTCATGTTTTTTTTTTCTTTTTTTTCCCCTTCAGTTTTATCACTGAGACCAAAAATCTGTTATTCACAGAGTTTGACAAGGGTTTATGTTTTAAGAATTACTCAAGCTAGATAAAGGATAAGGGTATCAAAAATTCAGTTTCTCTTTGGGAAATTATTGCACCAAATGCTTACACAGCAAATTTTAGGTTGATGTCCATGTACTTGTCCTGCAGTTGTTGATTTGAGAAGACGACACTGCATTTTGCAGTACTCTGTGATTAAAAAATGTTTCCATTGATGAAGAACCCTTGAGGCCTTAGAACATCAGTAAATGAAAAGAACTCTAGTGGTAAATTATGTCACATTTTAGCCAGCAATACAACTAGCTAAGAACTAACTATCCCTATGAGCTTTGTGAACTCAGACAACAGGTTTTTAAATGTTTTTTTTTTTTTTTTTCTTTCCTGGGACTATAAATTAAATGAAAAGAAAAACATGCTTACTTAGTATATTACAATCCACTGAGGGCCTCTATATTGTACATTGCCTGCTAAATCATTTGTTTCATAAGACTAAAGAGAAGAGCAAGCCAGAAACAGATTACAGTAATATTTTGGTTTGTTTGTGTGTGTGTGTTGTTTTATGTGTATCACTGAAAAGTATTATAAATATTAAGGTGTAGAGTTCTGGGGTTTTTTTCCAAACTATTTTCCCTCACTGACTTATAATATAAATTACAAGCTTTCTGCTGAAGATTTTTCCTGAATTCTGTTAATCTAGTTGTTTTAGCCTACTACTTTTAAAATTTAGCAGTCAAGATAGTGTGTGGAGTGTCATTAATTTGCAGTATACCCAGAGCTGTTCCACATTTTGTCTTGCTCCCATTTAAAGAAAGGTAGGGCAAATTCTGTTCCTGGATATGCAGGTGTAACTCTTGCTAATAGATCTAGCTGAGCTATAGGTACAAAGAACTCACTAGTTAAGCTTCCCTTTCTTTTCTTAGTCTGTCAATTTTTCATAATCAAACACACCTTAAAAACTTCTGTTCAAGTTATTTTATCCTTCAGTGTCTGAACTTAACCATGAATAAATATGTAGGATCTCTGTAATTCATGAAGTTGATAAAGTACCTTTAATAAGCACTGCCTACCTTGTTTAGTAATCAGTGGCAACATTTCTCCTCACTATCATATTCATAAATATTAATACAAATCCTAAATCCTGGAATCTTTCTGGTGCAAATCTCAGTGCACTTCAAAATCATTTTTAGTGTAGCCAGACCAAAGACATCTATGAGTTACTTTTCTTTCTGACAGAGCAATAATTTTATGAAGGATTATATAAAGTCTAATAGCCCTTTAAAAAGCCTAGATGGTACATGTTACAACACTAGAATGGAACGACTAACACATCACTGATGTGATCAGCTACGAAACTTAACATTTATTTATTTATTTATTTATAAACTTAAATACTCATGTATCACATAGCATACTAAATGCTCATCCTTCATAAAAAGATAACATTAGTACTGTGAAGTTAGACTTTTTCTCTTTAAAAATGTTTTCCCAAGGTTTTTGAAAGACCTAAGCAATCGAATGTACTTAAGATATAGAAAGTGCTGTACAACAGAGAGAACAAATTAATAGAAAAAATATTCTTTTTCAGTAATCATGATTACTCAATTGAGAAGTATCTGATGTCTAATGTAATTTTAAAGCAATAGATTTTAAATTGCTCATGTCCTCTTAAATGCTGCAGTTTACAAAGTACTGCTATTACAGAGAAAGCTGAGATAAAGAATTTCAAGGAGATACTACTACCACTTCTACAGATGTTATCATTATTTGACCCATCTGCTTCTGGAAGGACTGCAGGAGCAGATGGTCCCAGTTCATCAAATTACCAAAATATGCATTTAGATCTAGGTAAATGTTCAAACTCCTTTATAGTGTGTTGGACTAAAACACATATTAAACAGTGAGCACACATCTGAGTGCTCTCCTACATAGGGAACACTGATGTAACTTAGCACTTACAATAATTTCTAGACCAAAATCCATATTGGTAAATAAATGGCTGGTGGTTCTGCATTTTTAATAAGATTTTTGTTCCCCCCTTTTTCTTTATTTTTTTTATATAATATTGCCTGCAGTATGGACTGGGCCTTCTGTGTCACTATACTGTGAACCCATATAGTTCTTTCTCCTCTTTCTGATATAATTTGAGTGCTGCCTTCCAACTGTTATCAAAAAGTTCCTTATATTTACTCAACCTTCAAAGTGCTGCCTGTGGACATACAACAGTCTTAGGCATTCCTTTTTGCTAACGTACACTGATTTTCTTGGAGGTTTCTTTCCTTTTTTGTCAGTTGCCAGCTCAAGAGAATTTCATATCATGTAGGTCAAAGTTTACTTAATAGAATATTTGGCACTTGTTTAATCTACTCTATCAAATATGTGAATGTTTCTTCCAGTGTGTGACAAGCAGATACAAAGTCTAGTCACACTATTCTGAAGTCCCCTGAAAGGAGGCTAAGGTACAGAACTGCAGTAGTTAAACAGCTGACTTCGGTACTAGCAACACTAAGTAATGCAAAGTCAGTGGAGTAATTCAACAGGACTTGTTTACACTTGATTTCTCTGTGTCTCCCCATCCCTCCAAAATACCTTACTGGTATAGGTGGACTATAGAACTATCATATATCAAGTTATCTAGGCATTCTGTGTAGAATCATAATCTACTATTGTAGTATTAACATTAGAAATTACATAAGAAATAGCCCAGGATAAACACAAAGCTAATCTACTCTTTAGGGGACTTTAGGAAGAGCTGGGGATATGTGTCCTGGAACTTACATGTGACTCTTTATGTTTGTTGTACATTGTGTCTTTTTTTTAGCCAAGCATAGAACTTGAGAATGCCATGTAGACTGTAATTCAGAAATACATCATAAATCTGAAAAACAGTGACCTTATTCCTAACCTGCTATTAGAGTCAATCTTCAGCTGTAACTAAAAGCATTGCAAAAGGCCTTTAGTTTTGCTCTACTCTTGTAGCAAGACACTCACAGTGTTTCCATCAAAACATCAGGGTAGTATAACTTGTACAATTTTGAAACATTGATAGCAGCTTACAGTATTGGCATGTATGTGAGCATGCTATAAGGCAGCAGGTTGATCAAACAGAATTTTTCTGTAACCTGAACAACAAGATGGAGAGTTTGTGGTGCTATATTATAATTCAGTAGCTGAACAAACTCATCCTGTCTGCTAGATCCAGTCTGGGAGCTGGTGGTTAACATGTTTTTGAGTTGCTTGTGCTGTCTGCCTTATAGCGGCACAGACAACAAGGATGCTGAGTTTGAGGTTCATCTAGCTCATCTTTGCTACCTGAAAATTAGGGATCTAGTTTAAGATAGTGAACTCAACAGGGAGGTGTGCATACAGAGTGGCTGATCCCTGTATTGAATGCTTTACTTATAATTAAACGTATCCTTGTCCTCTGAAAGAGGCAGTGTTCTTTCATGGGCTACAGATAAAGCTACTTGACTGAGTCTTAGCAAACTCCTTCTAGGAGTTCTTCTTGAAAGAAAATTAATTCCACTCAAAATTGTGATTTGTCCTAAATCACAAACTATATGCCCCTGGTGGAGTACAAAGCCATTCCCTTTCATTTCCAATTTAACAATTAAATATAACGACAAATTGTTCTAAAAAGCACACCAGCCATTGTACTGTTTAATTATATGTCTCCATAGCTCTTTAACTGTATTCTGTATGTTAGGCTACTA